CTATATCTGACAATGTTTCTCTGCTATGCATAGAGTTTTCAGTGACTAGCGATTCGGAAGTAGTTTGTCACTCTTTCTTCCTAGTCTGTCATACTACAGGCTAGTTAAATCTTTCTTCCTAGTCTGTGTGCCATACTACAGGCTAGTTAAATCTCATAATGACACTCACTCACCTGAGTCTCCGAATTAAGAGACAAGCCACCTTCTCCTCACTCTGTTCTCATATCACATCATCTCTGATTGGACAGATCGGTCATTCTTCAGTCCTTTAGGTTATTGTGTTCCTGCAGTATTCGTAATAAGTAGGTCTAGAGGATTAAAGTACTCAATAGCTCAGAAGTGCAATTAGGAGGAGAAGACCGAAGCATATCTTACGCTGTCAGTGTGAGGGGCTGAGAGTTAGTGTCCAACACTTGTAAAAGTTAGTAAAGTAACTATAGCTGCTTTTTAAAAAGTCATTCAACACTGAACAAGGTCATTATGCTAACACCTTCATGTTTTATTATTAGGAACAATATGCCAGAATTCCACAAATTAAAAGCAAAGTTGGTAAAGAAGAAAGGAGCACGGGCATATGCTTGCCAATGTAGCTGGAGAACTATTGAAGAGCTGACCGACCTTCAGACCCATCATCAGCTTCGCTGGGTTTGTGGTAAACATTAAGGATGCAGATTATACATTCAGACAAGTGTATTCACAGAAGTTGTTTCCGGTGATCATGATACTATTTAGGTAAAGGTACACAGGAATAGCATGTCCTTAAAAAAAGGAAGTGACTTTCATTTAGTCCCTCCACAAATTTTTAACAACCGATGAACTGGAGGAAAAATGTACTTTCGTATTTTGAGATTATTCCTGTTTGCTATATGGACATTTCACTAACTGAGGTAACAAATTATCCAAATTCTTTTTTGCTCGTTTATGTGCTGCTAAATGGCAGTTCACATACGGCATTTCATACAAGCAGAACAAACACAACAACAGTATTATTGACTGCTAATACACTTACTGTAGACATTCCTTGTTTCTAGCCATTAAAGAGGATAAAGTCACCATTGCAAAGAAGTCATTGTAGAGGTCTGCCTCAAACTTCTACACTCACATCTGTTGTTGCCAAAAGCTGTAATGAGACTGACAAAACCAAGTAGTCGGTGACTAACTTAAGGGTTTCTTCAGTGGTAAGGGATATTGTAAAACACTACCTCTGTCTGCTCTTGTTTTGCCAACTCAAAGCAGTAAATTATGCACAATAATGCTAAATACATGATAGATACTACATTTAACTTTTATTCCTTTTCTTCATGTAGGTATGGAAAGTCAAGTATTTAGTTTACTGTTCTGGCAAAGAATCATTTATATATTAAATATATAGTTTTTGATACACCTAAAAACACAAAAATCCTAATACAAAAAGCACATCGTTGTATTTCCTAAGTACTTTGCCTTTAATGCCTAAAACTCCATGGAGTGAAGTGAGCAGCAAATCAGTTTTCTCAGGCAGTCAATTGACGTTTCTGGTCAGACCTGGCTGACAAATGGTCTGTTTGATCAGCACATGACGAGAAATAAAAACATGGATGAGCTAACATGTTACCTGTCAGGCTCCATCTTGCCGTCATTGAAACTTGAGACTCTACAGCAGCAGGACTCTGAAGAAATCAGATACCTCCAAATTACCAGCTCCCAGCTCCTTTGGGATTCTAGGGCTTTCCAGCAGGCTGCCACAAGCTCTTTACCATGTGTTGTCTGTATAGCTCAAATGTGTAACACAGGATGACTGAAAAGGAGTAATTGGAGATTTGATCATTCGGATGCTTTTCTTGACCATGACATATTTGCATACTCGTAAAACTTACTTTTAGCATTGCAACAGAACAATATCATGGTGGCAGATGCTCATATTTTTGTATTAAAGATATTTTATAGAGTATACCTTTCAATAAAAATTACTTGCTCTTTAAAAAAAAAGGAAAAAGATATCTAGATAGCCTCAGAAACTCTATATAGATAGGGTCACTATGAGTCACAATGAACTCAATTGAAGTCAATGTGTTTTTGTTTTGTTTTGTTTTAACCTTGTCAAAATATCACCTGAAAATTCTGGAACCATCTGAACATCCTGTGAGCAGGCCATTGAGGATGAAAAGACAATGGCTACTATAATAAAAACATTTATAAGACACATATTCTAGAAGATGGTAGATAAAGACTATAATAATTAAGGGACTTGCTATTCCAGTAAACTATTATAGTCTACTGGTTAGGGTAATGCTGAATTATCCTGTGCAATCAATTAATGCAATAATCTCAAATAACCTCCTGTTATAAAGAAGGAACCATAATGCTTGTGGTGTAATGAATTGTTTACCATGTCTCTTCTAGCCTTAATCTTTGTAACTCCTACCAAACCTTTTCCTGCTGGGTCTGGGTGAGAGAACATGGGAGACGATATTGATGGATGACATGATTTAACTGTGAATGTTAACAGAATT